CTTCATCCTCTTTTCAGAGGGAAACTTGTGGCAAAGAAAGTACCTGACCAGGATTCCCAAGTGCTACTGGCCAGGATTTGAATGTGAGACATTTGATCTGTGAACCTGGACTCAGCTACTCTGCCAGTCCATTGTCAACTTCCAGGGGCCAGGCCCTGAGGCATAATTTGATCTCTGTTGTGGCTAGATAAACGAATAATTTATCTTCTTGATATCGAAATCAAATGAAAATTTTCAAAAAAGTGTAGATCAGATGGAAGTACAAAATACCACATTTTTTATTGACAAAGCTAGTACTGGCTTCTGAATCTCAGAGTTAGGTAGATTTTTGTGCATAAACTAGGGCTCTATAGGCAGATTACCTGAGTGTGAATCCAGGTTTCACCTCTTACTACCTCAGTGATCTGGAATAAGTTATTTATCCCTGAAAGTCTCAGTTTCTTCATTTGTAAAATGGAAACAATAATAACCCTTAACTCACAGTGCTGTTGTAATGATTAAAATGTGGTGCTGGAGAAGAGTACTGAATATACCATAGACTGCTAGGAGAACATACAAGTTGGTCCTGGAGAAGGTGAAGCCAGGCTGCTCCTTGGAGGCAAGGATTCTGAAGCTTCGTCTGACATACTTTGGATATGCTACAAGGAGGGACCAGTCCTTGGGAGGGTGGAAGGACAGTGTAGGAGAGGAAGGCCCTCAATGAGATGGATTGATTCAGTGACTGAGGTAATGGTGATTGGTGTGTCAAAGACAGTAAGATTGGCAAGGGATAGAGCAGGGTTTAAGGCTGTTATACATAGGGTCTCTACGAGTTGCAAGTGATTTGACGGCACATAACAACAACAACAACAATACATCAGGGGAGCTTTGGTGGTTAAGTGGTAATTGTGCTGTCAACACAAACGTATGCAGTGCGAATCCACCAGCTGCTCTGAGGAAAGGCAATCAACTCCCATGCAATAAATTGTTTCTGAAAACCTTCTAGAGGGTCAACAAGAAATAAACCCTGACTCTATGACACACAACAATACACGAGAAGCACTTAGAGCAATTACTGGCACATGGTGAATTCTCAAAGGAGCATAGTTATTATCATCAGTACTAATTACCTGGAAGGGTGTTCTGGTGGCTCAATGGTAAAGATCTGTGAATGCGATTTGAATCTATCAGCTGCTCTGCTGGAGAAATACGGGTAATCTCCTACCATTCGATTCACTGCTTGAATATCCATTGGAGGCTCAGCTATGGGTCTGTTCTGATGGTAGCCCAGAGGCAGGTGCACATACCTCTGTTTGACTCCCCACAGGGACAGGACTTGCCTCTGTGAAACTCCAAAGTGGAGCAGAACAGACGTCCTTCCTGCAGGCAGCCTGCTCCCAAGGGAAAGAGAGAAGGGAAGAAGGATTTCTTTATCAGCCCACACACGGGAGGAGAGAGGTAGGAGGGTTGTGCTGCTTGGGTGATCACCACGGGGACGTGTCACATGTTTCCCCCAACACCTGTCCTCATTATACTGGGTAAGACTCATTTTAAGAAGAAGTCATTCTTTACTGACCAAGCATCTAATAACTAATCACACCGGGCTTACTTAACCATTGAGGAGTTTTGTGTGGTTTGTTTCCTCTCTGATTCTAGAAGCAAAGGCTAGAGGATTCAGATTAGTTGATATGAAAATTCAATGCATGATGCTCCCTAATGGGGAAGAAAATGCATACGTACATATGATACGTACAGGAAAAGAATATAAGTCACCTTGGGGACAGGTGGCTGGGGTTTCTTTTAAGAGAAAGTGCAGGTGTTATTTATTTTATATAGTTTAATTGTATTTTAAAATTTCAAAAATATGGAACACTTCACGAATTTGCATATCATCCTTGCACAGGGGCCATGCTAATCTCCTCTGTATCATTCCAATTTTAGTACATACACTGCCGAAGCAAGCACACAAGATATTACCTTTTTTAAACTGTGATTTTAACAAAAGTTGAATGTTCATTCATTCGTTGTTGCATATTTTCCTCCCTAACCCACCCCAGTTGACTTAAAAAAAGAGCGAACTGGGGGTGGGGTGGGCGGGGAGAAAAGTGCAACAATGAATGAATGGAAATCCAAAATCTCTGTAGCTGTTCATTGAAATTAATAAAATAAATAAAAAGATTCGTTAATATTTGCATAACTAGAGAGATAGTTGGCCATGCATGCTCCCTTTATCATTATCATAATTGTGATAAATACTTGATTGCTAAAGAAAAATTGAGCTTGTTTTTCAGTGATTCTGTTGTGCCTTAAAGAGTGTGGCAGAACAGCCCCAGATGACAGGCGGGGAACGGGGAGGTTTAGTGAGGCTGGGGTGTGGGAGGGCAGCTAGCTCTGAGAAGATGGGGGCCTTTCTAATGCATAGTCTGCCCATCTGCCCTGAGTGAGGAACAGCTTTCTCTGGGACTAGTGGGTTGAAGAATACTTGTAGAGAGGCTAATGGTTCTTAAAACACTTCCCTAGCTCTCCCTTCTTTCCAGGTCATCCTGGCCCTACTTGTGCCATAAATTTACACTCTTCTCTGGTAACCCTGGGAACTTAATCATAGATTCTGTGATGGCTCATCTGGCCCGCTCAGCCCAGATCACACAGGAGACTCACTCACAGGCCAGAAAATATCTGTGGGAGGCACCATATAGACTGAGCAAACCATCACTTTAGACTCAAGCAGACCTGAGTTCAAATTGTAACTTCACTTATTATCATTAGCTGATGTGTAATTTTGGGCCTCAGTTTCTCTTCTCTGAAGTAGGGCTAACCATTGCTTTTTTTGATGGTTATAGTGAGGTTAAGCTCTGATGAGTAAGTAGGGAGTTGAGCTGCTAACCCAAGACCGCTCTTCTGTAGTCGTTTTAGTGACTTCTGTAGTGACTTCTGTAGTGGTTTCTGTAGTGACTTCTCAGGAGAAAGATGGGCAATCTTCTTCTGGATGGCTAGCTGCTTCAGAAACCCAATGAAGGATTAGCCATGAGTTGGTTCTGACTGATGACAATGAGCTTTGAGGTTTGGCATAATGAAGATTAGTTAAGCACACACTCTGATAAACTAGGCACAGTGTCTGTCCCATAGGCATTTGCTGTATACATTCCCTTCCCTTATGATAATTACAGCTAATGTTTAATACTCACTCTTTGCTATTGAGTCAGAAATGAGTGGCTGACCCTCTATTTGGTTTCCAAGGTTGTAAACAGAGCAGGGAAAACTGTCTATCTTCCTCCTGAGGAACCACTGGTGGATTTGAATGGTCAGAGAGGCACAGGCTTCAAGTCAGCAAAGCATCTGCCTGTGAACTGTGTCATCAGAGCTATGTTGTTATGTTGTTGTTAGGTGCCATTAGACGACTCATAGTGACCCTATGAATGAAAGACCTGAACACTTGTATAACTTTCATTGTTTCTTCAAGTTCATAGAGTTTCCTGAGGCAAGCTATTTCAGAAGTGGATGCCACTCCTGCTTCCAAGCTTGTTTTAATCAGGGAGCCCCACCAAATACTGTCCAGCACGGGTAACTACATGGTGCTAAACACTTTTTCTAGATTATCTCATTTAATCTTACAATAACTCTTTGAGAATAATTTTAGTATTATTTCCATCTGAAGAAATGAAGACTTAAACAAGTTAAAAGGTTCCTTCTAAGTCACATGATGAGAGAGACAACCCCAGGGATCTTCCTGAGCCCAAGCTTTTAACCATTTAATTCGACTTCTTAACTCATAAAGATCATATCTGCTGAAGACCCCTTTGCCTCTTCATTCAATAGGCCACACTGTCCCTGGCAAGATTCATATTATGTTTACAGGGAGACTGGTCACTGCCCAGAGCAGCATTCTTGGTTTGCTGGGACACTTTCCTGTCTTCTTCTTTTGTTGGAAGTGAAAATGGTGGGAAGTACATGGCAGGATGGAGATGGGTGTGAATACGAGTTAACATGCATGTGTGGTGGAGGGTTTGATCCCAGAGTCTCCTAACAATTCTCATCCAAAGCCTGCTTGCTTCTCAGATCTCTCAGCTCTGTGCGAGCATGTTTTGTTTCTTGTTTATAGTTTCTCCCCAATCACTTGCCTGTGTCTGGCACTGATAGATGCTCAATAAATATTTCCTGAATTAAGGCCATGAATCATATTGGAGATGTGACCAGAGAATCCATCCAGTGACTGCATGGGAGAAAGACCTGGTTGATCAGCTTCCATAACAATTATAATTTAGAAAATCCCAAAGGACAGTGTCCCAGGGGATCACTATGAGGAAACTGATACGAAGGCACTTGACAAAAACAGATCATGGAACATGGAATCAGAAGCCAGAGAAGTTACCTGACTGAAAAAGAGGTATTAACCCTCACGAACACATTTCCCTTTGGGGTTCTTCTATTTCCTCCGTTATAAGGGGAGGTACATAGATAAAGCAACATGAGGGTTCCTTCAAATCCTAACATTTTATGCATAATTAGTCTTTGTGGCCCATTCTCTCTTTCTAGGGCTTCTATGTTTCAGAAAGACATAGATGGCTACTGGAAAAGTAAGATACTGGAGTTTGAGCAAAAGAACTGGAAGAAATCTTACAAAGATACAAGAGAATGAAATAGAGACTTCACATCTAGACTGTTCAGAATTTGTATAGGATGAATCACATAGCTTCAATGACTTTGTTTTAAAAACAAATAACAACCAAACAAACAAAAAGCAAGATTATTTCAGAAATACATTCAAGAGCAAGAGAAAACGACACAGAAAGAGATGCAGTCCTGCTCTCACATCCACACTTACTCCATGTCTATTTTGTAGAGATTTGACGGCTGAGACTGCTCACCCCCACCCCCTTCACACTTGAGGTCAGACAGAGCCTGGCTGGGCTGCTGCCAGGATCCTTCCCCAGTGCCCATGTGCACAGCTGAGCTGTGGGGAGGTGCTGAAGGGGACGTCTTTCAGGGAAAAAACCCCATCCAACAACCGGTAAGCTACTCACCGGAGGTCTCTTCCAGACGAACTGGATGGGGAATTTCTGGCTGTAAAAAAGAGAGGTCTCATCCGGTGGGAACTCAGGATCCACATAAAGGACCTTCTTTTCTAGACATTTCTTGCGTAGCTGCTCAAATGTCTTCTCTTTCACGCCGATAATGGGAAAATTACGGCTGATGATGGCTGAATAGATGCCACTAGGGTTTCCACCTCCTGCCTCGGTGGTCTTGCCTTGAGCTGGTTGGGGGATTGGCCCCGGGGACCTGGGCTCAGCCCCTGTCCGTGGGGCCACAGTCGCACTAATGACAGTTGGCATGGCAGGTAACTTGGGGAGGAAAAAGATTTTACAGAAAACACAATACAGCTACCTCCAAGGAAAGGAAGCAACCACCAAGGGGAAGTTGGAGTGAGTCTGTCATCTGAGAGAAAAATGTCCACATCCAGTTCAAAGTCTAAAGCCCATCAGCAGGTCGTCCAGCTTGAAAAGGAAGCCATGCTTCTGGAGCCACAAATTCTTCCCTGAGAAGGAGCAATCAAGGACTTCCAAAGCAATTTTTACATAGGGGGGTCTCCTACCAGCAGCATGCATGCCAGAGGGAGAGAAAGAGAGTGAGGGTTGTGTTTCAGTGGCCTGAAGACGCTTAAGCCAGGAAAACTAAAAATAGACATGAAGGAAGATTGTGAGTATGAGAACAGGAGAGAGGCTAGCATGAGGGTGGCTGCATGTTGGAGAGAGAAAGGCCTGGCTAGAGAGGTTTCTGTGTTGCCATTAAGTGCTGGTGCTATCAGAAAATGAAATGGAATGCCTGACTCTATTGATCATAGAACATCAGCAAGGAAATTCTGGGGTGTTACTGAGTAGACAGTTACACAGATTATCAGATTACTGACTGTCAAGTTAATGGAAAATGTTGAAAAGGATGGCTGTGAGATACTGAATTCAGTGGAATAGTCTAGGCCCTTCCCCCCCCCCCTCTGTTTGGCAGTAATTATTAACCACATCCATTTTGTATACCATATACTTCAAAAACACTGGCACTTGTGCACAGGAAAGCATCACAAAGTTGCTCACTGCTGTCTGTACTAGAGAAATGCAACCAAGGTATTGGCTGGGCCCAGTTCCTCGCCAGAGCTCAAGTCTCTTTTCTAAGATCACACAGAGTTGTCGGAAGAATTAAGCTCTTTCAGGTTATAGGGCCAAAGACCTTGTTTTCTTTTTTAAAACAGTTTTTAAAAAACTATATGATTCACAAATAAAAACTATACATTAAAGTATATACAGTTCTGTATTGGGTGTTTTGGTTTATTTATAGACATGTGTGACCATCACCACGGCCAATTGTAGAACATTTCCATCACTTTAAGAAACTCAGGATTCAGGAAGTGAATTACCCAGTAAGTGAACAACTTTGCTTATTTTTTCCACACCAAAGATACAAAATGGGAACAAAATTATTTATCACACTAAGCATTGGAACCAATATCCTTAAAAGAAAAAATACATCCAGCACCGGGTATATAGTGATTATTCAGGTGTTCCACACAAGGCATCTGACTAAATAACTGGAATTGGAGACTGTCCTAGGTTGGGAATCAAGACACATGATGTCATACTTTGTAGTTATGAGGTGCCACTGAGTCAAATACTCATAGTAACCCTATTAATGACAGATCTGAACCCTGTCCTATCCTGTGCCATCTTCACAATCTCTGATATAGTCAAGCCCATTGCTGTAGTCACTGTGTCAATCCACTTGGTTGAGAGTCTTCCTTTCTTTTGCTTACCTGCCACCTTTCCAAGCATGATATCTATCCACCTCCAAGGAATAGCCTCTCCCAGATTCTCAGATGACAGCACAAATGGCTGTGGGGTGGGGAATTGCCTGCCTGGCCTTTACATTGGCTTCTCCTCACAGCAGCTACTCTGTGGGCTTGAAGTCTGGCTGGGGGCAGAGGCTCATTCCACACCACAGTCATGCCTGCTGCCCTGTGACCATCTCGTAGGCCCAAGGTTAAAGGTTATAGGAGAAGGTGGGAAGAGACCGCTGAAATAGGGAGTGACACAGGCTCATGATTCCTGCAGCTGTGGCTTTGAGGAAGCCTGTGCCTTTGTCTAGGTTTTGTAGAAACCTTCCACGTTCTCTTCCGTCCCTGAACATAAGCATCCAATAGTCTTTACTATTCTTGAAAAGGCAGAATAAAGGAGACTAATTACCAAGACTCAGAATCTGGTATTGCTGTTTATTTACTCTGCCTGCATAACTTTAGGCGAATTACTCTTCCCTTTTAGCTACGTGCTCAGTTTTCTCCCCTATAAAATGGGAACATAGCTACTCTGTCATTGGATTGCTGTAAGAATTGAGCAATTAATCTATGTAAGTCATAGGGCCTGGGTTGTCTTTAAGCACTCAGTAAATATCACTGCTGCCAGAGAATATCTACATTTAGTATTACTTTGAGATTAGGACAAAGAGAATGAAACATTGACTTATTAATGTGCGTCAGCATTTACTCTGAGCACTACAGCTCATGGATAGGTGCCATAGGCTCAGGTTCCTGTGGTGCACCATGTCCATATTCAGAGGCTAACCTACTTGCCAGTTTTAAAAACATCTCAAATGAGTGACTGCCACCCTCACACTAACCAGCAAAATGACAGCAAAGATGGGGGTTCCTTCCTCCATCATCATAAGTTTGGTTCCCCAGACCATGCTCTGCTATTGCTAATTGTCGAGTTTGTCCCTGACTTAGGATAATCCACAGAGAACAGAAAGAAATATTGCCTGGTCTTGTGCCATCCACATGATTGGCTGCATATCTGACCATTATTTTCACCATATTTTCACATACAATGTGCCTATGGAGATAATGTGCACATGCATACAACATGCACTGCCCTCGCAGGAGATCAATGGGAGAGGAGTTTGAAAGGTTTGTAAAAACCAAACCAAAAAACAAACAAACAAACAAACCCCTCCTCCCAAAACATCCCCAAAATCAAGAGTATAAACATATATTATTTGAGTAAAAAGATAGTACTCCAAAGGATTTTCACTGGCTGAGTTTTGGAAGTGTATCACCAATTCTCTCTTGGTCTGTTTTAGTCTGGAAGCCCTGCTGGAATCTATTTGGTTACAGCAGCCTACAATCCTCCACTGACAGACGATGGCAGCTGTGCATGAAGAACACTGGCTGAAACAACCTCAGGCCATCCATCGTGTGGAAGGTGAGATTTCTACTACTTAACCATGCATGGCTTTCTCCTTGCTCTGCACAGCCCTGAAATTTCCTGTTGTCAAACTCACAAGCCAGAAAGCTCTGTGAAGTCATGGGACAAGGTCACTATTACATTCCCAGCACTCATAATGTTATTGTTAGGTGCCACTGAATTGATCAAGAGTTCAGATCCTTGCCCAATTCTGTGTCATCCTCACAATCTCCACTATGCCCAGGCACATTAATAAAGTCACTGTGTCAATCCGTCTTGTTGAGATGTTTTCTCTTTTTTACTGATCCATTACTTTCCCATTTAAAAGGAAAAGATCATGACAAAGAGAGGGAAGGGAAAAAAGACCAAAACAGATATCAGAAGAGGATCTGAAATTGCACTAGAACATCAAGAGGCCAAAATGGAAGGAAAAAATGCTGACATAAAAGAGATGAACTGAAGATTTCAAAGGGCAACTCAAGAAGACAAAACAAAATATTAAATAAATATGTAAAGAATTGGAGTTCAAGAATAAAAAGGGAAGAACATGCTTGGCATTTCTCAAGTTTAAAGAACTGAAAAACAAGCTTTGAGTTGTAATACTGAAGGGTTCTATGGACAAAATCTTGAATGATGCAATAAAGACTGAAAGATGAAAAGAATACACAGAGTCACTGTGCCAAAAAGAATCACTCAGCCCTGAACATTTTCAGGACATAGCTAATGATAAAGAACCAATGTTAATGAAGGAAGAAGTTACAGCTGCACACTGCACACTGAAGGCACTGGGGGAGGGAGTAAAGTCACATGGATTTATGGCATGTTCAACAAATAGATACAGTCCTGGGCATACTCACTAGTATATGTCAAGAAATTTGGAAGACAGGTGCTTGACCAACTGATTGGAAGAGGTTCATATTTCTTCCCATTCCCCAAAAAAGATGATCCAACAGAATGTGGAAATTATCAAACAATATCATTACTATAACATAGAAGTAAAATTGTGCTTAAGATTATTAAAAAAATGTCTAGAATACTATATTAATAGGGAACAACCAGAAAGTCAAGCTGGATTTAGAAGAAGTTGCTGCATCAGGGATATTGCTGATGTCAGATGAATCTTGGCTGAAAGCAGAGAATACCAGAGGGATGTTTACTTGTTGACTAGGCAGAGGCATTTGACTGTGTGGATCATAACAAATTATGGATAATGTTGAGAAGAAATCCCAGAAGACTTATTTGTGCATATGGACATGTATACCCAGACCAAGAAGCAGTTGTCAGAATTGAACAGAACACTGCATGGTTTAAAATCAGAAAATGTGTCAGGGCTGTATCCTTTCTCCATTCCTATTCAAACTATATGTTGAGCAAATAATTTGAGAAGCTGGACTTGATGAAGAAGAATGTGGTATCAGGATTGGAGGAAGACCTGCATTATGCAGATGATACAACCTTGCTTGCTGAAAGTGAAGAGGACTTAAAACACTTGCTGCAGAAGATCAAAGATTACAGCCTTCAATATAGATTACATCTCAACATCAAGATAATGAAAATCCACTACGAAGACGGCACCGAAAGTGAAGAGGGAGCCCCTGTCCCTCCCAAAATGGAAGCCAAAGCAAAGGCATTTTTTTTGTCTTTTTTTTTCTATATTTTATTAATTTTCATAAACATTTACAGAGATTTTGGGTTTCCATTCATTCCTTGTTGCACTATTCTCT